ATAAACAAGGGAAATTCGTCATTTACTAGCCTTATAATACCTACGATTTACTACGCGTAACTCATCCAACTTGAGCTCAAATCGGACACAGTACATTCGCCTATCATCGTGCGAAATCGTTTCCTCGTAGACACCCGCAATCCGGAGATACAGCCTAAAACGTACGACACGATTCTCCATTCTTTGGCCATCAATCCAACGCCATTGCGCGCCTATAATTCAAACAAAAGGCAGCTACCTAACGCGAGCATGCTACATAAAAGGCAGCTACATAACTCAGCGAGGCATGTGGCTCGCTGGGAGATTAGGCATCAACACTCGGCGAGATAACCTTTGACCGTACACAGGCCACCTCTGTACATAGCTGGCATGCCTTCACGCACGCACGCCAGCCGCATGATTAGCTCGTCGAGTGTTGCGTCGATATCCAATCTCCCCGCGAGCCACAACGCCACATTCCGCAGCGACTGCGCGGCAGTGTTGCTGCTTTTTGTCTGAATTATAGGCGCGCAATGGCGTTGGATTGATGGCCAAAGAATGGAGAATCGTGTCGTACGTTTTAGGCTGTATCTCCGGATTGCGGGTGTCTACGAGGAAACGATTTCGCACGATGATAGGCGAATGTACTGTATCCGATTTGAGCTGAAGTTGGATGAGTTACGCGTAGTAAATCGTAGGTATTATAAGGCTAGTAAATGACAAATTTCCCTTGTTTATTGATGTCACACTCCTCCCTATTATCTACTCCTGATAACACCCAGCACATGGTGTGGCAGCAACCTCAATGTGGTACATTACAGTTAACTTTACGTAAGAATTTAATTTACATAACTCTGACAATGGCCTTAATTTGAAAGGCCTACTTGCTTTTTAAAATTTTAATGGGTATAATATCGCAGCTAAGTACTGTAGGTAGGTAGATAGTATTCATATATTATGAAGTTGCTCATTATATGGCTCGGGTCTACCCCAGTACATGCTTTACTGTAGTTTTAAATCCCAACCCAGTACAAGCGCACATTATATATCATAGAATGATTTACAGATTTACATGTATCATAAAATGACACAGAGTCATCTTACATTACATTTCAGTTATTTTTCATCAGTTACAAGTCAACTACAGTTATTTAATATTATTAAAAATTAAACCAACATAACTACCAGCCAAAATAGTTACCTCTGCAAATCCCAATAATAATAATAATAATAATAATACCTATAGATTATGATAGGCACAGCATGTATATCTACAAGGAAACTCAGGGAGGAGGTGGACAGCATGGATGACCATGAAGGAAAGGGGGAAGAGGGATGATAGATATAAGGGGAGAAGATGGATGGAGAGAAAAGAAGAGGAGAGAGGAGGGAAGAAGGTATAGAAACGAACTAGAGATGTAGGTGGATAAGGAAGGCGAGAATTTGGATCGAGAGTGTGTGAAGGGGGAAAATTGTGGGTCAGCTATATGTACGTGGGCTTGGGCCGAAACATTTACACATGTCACTTTAGTCTTACATACACCATAAAACACTTGCCATGCATTATCAGCTTCTGAAATACCTTTTACTTTTGGCCTTTTGACTTTTTGGCCCTAGAACTAAGCGCCTGATTAAAAAAAATTTAAAGCAAAATTTGTTGACCTAAAAAACCTGCCAAAAGCACCAAGTCGAATTCTAATGAACTGGCGCTGAGAGGGTCTATGTAACCCAGGGTACTGCCTGCTAGCTGCTGGTACTATCTAATATGCCGGACCGTACCTCGCCTACTCCACTAACGAGTCTAGGGAGTCGCCTACGCCTACTCCCTAACCATATCAAATGGTTACCAGGGTACGTTCCAGTATACAGGACCGTACCAAGGGTACGTTCCGGCAGTACCTTGGGGGACATAGACCTTATGAGCTGAACTGGCGGCCCTAAGCTACTTGACCCTTAGCTCTAGAACTATAGCCTTCGCTCTGCCGAGGCCTATACAGTATACTACTACTGCCTGTGCAGAGCGAAGGGCTATATTACCGGTTATTATTATGGCAGTGGCTACGGGTACGCCAGCCGTATCTTAATGTCTCGAGGCTACGGGTACGCCAGTCCATTCGCTTTCATACTTAACGAGACAAAGATGGCGGCGGTGGCGCTAGATTTCGAAATAACGCCTTGGGAAATAAATTCACGATTTCAGAGTTTAGATGAGCAAGAACCCTAACCCTAACCCTAAACCTAACCCTAACCATAACCCTAAACCTAAACCTAACCCTAACCCTAACCCTAACCCTAACCCTAACGCAAAAAATGGGCTTGAACGACCGACGGCTGGCGTACCTCCAGCCACTGCGTATTATTATAGTTCTAGAGCTACTCGACCCTTTGATGACACCGCAGCTTTACCTCAACAGCATCACCGCAATTAGTCCATCCCATGACCAAAAGGAGAATCCAATGGTACTTTCCTAGTCCAATGTAGTCCAACACGTCATCGTAAATCCAGGAACGTGTCCCACTCTTATCAATATCGGTATGCCTACCAACAACATCACTCTCTTCGGAAATATCCTGTAACAATTTGTCAGTTTCTAGTGATAATTCACCATCATCCTGATCGTGACTCATCATTATATCGTATCCTTTTGTAACAAACTGTTATGCCACGCAAACACATATATTGCCATTGGTTTAACGAAAGAAAACGATGTTTGTAAGCACTAGTTTATATAAAACGACTCCATTTTTGGTCGATAATTTGACCGTCGCGTGTCGTCATTCAAGAAAAATTATTTATTTATATTTATTATTATTATATTTATTTTATAATTTATATTTATTATTTATTTATTTATTGATAAATGTGGTTTTTCTCCATAAATAAATAACTCTTTTGCAACTGGATTTTTCAAGTCATCGCCTAATCTAGCTCTGATTCTAGTTCTATCACATTTTCTATGCCCTAGTCATCGCCCGTGGCATTAGACTGGTGCGACAGTTCCACACGCTCCACTCAGTGTAGCGAAGGATGTATGCCGGAGTGAAGATGGCGAACGAGTACCAGTCTACCCTGGGATGTGAAGTGTGCGAAGTGTATGACGATCATAGAGTTATATATTAGACCCCGTATTGTATAATAGACCCCTCTATTGTATAATAGAGTATTGTATTGTATTGTATAATAGACCCCTCTATTGTATAATAGAGTATATTAATACAACTCTATGATGACGATACTACTATTTTACGACAAAAGAGGGCGCTGGCGTTCTTTGCACCCACCTATGCTCTCTTGTAGAGACGGCATTTCATCGTCTCGCTCACTTCAGCACTTGGTAACACACACATATATATATATATATATATATATACATACACATACTACTTATATATATATATATATATATATANCCAAAGTGCTGAAGTGAGGGCGAGACGCATGAAATGCCCGTCTCTACAAGAAGAGCTAATAGGTGGGTGCAAAAGAACGCCAGCGCCCTCTTTGTCGTAAAATAGTAGTATCGCTCACCATCAGACGTTGTATTATATATAAATTATATATAAATATATTCAAATATATAATAATAATATATAATCATAAATAAATAAAAATAATATAAATACAATATATATTATATAATATAATATAGAATATAATAATTAATATATAATAATAATAATATATACAATAATAATAATAACTATATCATATAATAATTATAATTAATATATAATATATAATATCTATAATATTAATATATGCTAATAGTATATACTGCTATGATCGTCACACACTTCACCACACTTCACGCATCCCCAGCTGTAGGACTGGTACTGCGTTCGCCAACTTCACGTCCGGCTACATCCTTCGCTACACTGAGTTGGAGCGGCAGTGAACTGCGTACCAGTCTAATGCTACGCGCGAATGACCTAGGCATAGAAAATGGTGGATAGAACTAGAATCAGAGCTAGATTAGGCGACTGAGCTTGCTATAAATGCCAACAGTTGCAAAAGCAAGTTATTTATTTATGGGAGATAACCACATTTAATCATAAATAATAAATAATAAATATAAATTATAACAATAAATATAATAATAAATAAACTATAAATAATAGATTTCTTGATGACCGACACACGGTACGACGCGGTCAATTAGTCGACCAAAATGGAGTGTTTTATATAAACGTGCTTACAATAACCGCGTTCGCTACTAAACGCGCAAATGTGCTACTAAACAGCGAAACGTGCAGGATATGTGCAGGAATGTGCGCGGTATATGTGCAATGGAAATGTGCGCGAATGTGCAGGAATGTGCAGGAAGCAAATCTATACCTAAACAGCGGAATGTGCTACTAAACAGCGAAATGTGCGTATAAACAGCGGAAAGCTGCTACTAACAGCGTAATGTGCGCGAACATAGCCTAAGAATGTGGCGCAATGTGCCTCGAATTAACTGCCGCAATGTAGTCAAAATGTGTTAAAAAATGTCTAATACTAAACGCGGAATGTGCATAAACCAGCCGAAATGTTGCTACCTAAACGCAGAATGTACGCCGAAATAGGTAAGAATGTGGCGCAATGTGCATCAATAACTGGCCGCAATGTATTGCAAATGTGTACAAATATTATACTAAACAGCGAAATGTGCTAGCTAAACAGCGAAATGTGCTACTAAAAGCGGAATAGTGCGCGAATAGGTGAAGATGTGGTGCGCATGTGCATCAATAACGCTCAAGGCGGTCGTTGTCTTTAACACCTGACGAGAGTACTATACAGATATGTACCCGAGGTACATATATGTATACACAAGACTGTACCCGACTCTGGACTAAAAACAGAAGTGTACCCTAAGCCCTACAGCAGCTAACGCCTAACTCTATAACCCTAGTCCTAACCCTAACTCTACCCATAACCTTACCCTAAACATACCTCATCAGTAAAATATAAAACATAATACTAAACAAACCATAAAACGACCTCGGGTAAGCATATCTGTAGTAACCTGCTTCGACAACGACCTCGTGCATCAAATAGAACTGCCCGCAACTGTATCAAATGTCTAAAAAATATTAATCAAACAGCGCAGAATCGTGCTAGTAAAAAGCGAAATGTTGCCTACTAAACAGCGAAGATTGCTTAGCTAAACAGCGGAATGCTGCGCGAAATGGGTAAGAAATGTGGCGCAATGCGCATTCAATAAACTGGCTGCAATGTATTCAAATGTGTTAAAAAATATTATAACTTAAAACAGCGCGGAATGTGCTACTAAACAGCAGCAGATGTGCGCGGAATGGGCCGGGGTCAAATTGGCTCGGCGCAATGTGCATCAAATAACAGGGGCGGTCTACAGCCTTTTTCTGAACAAAGGAGGGAGCCAAATCTTTATTGGTCCTGTTAAATGCAATGACCTTAAATGCACAATACACAAAACCAACAGTAAATAAAAATACACATAATACAATTGTATTTATTATGAAAGTAAAACTCAAACACAACCCCTTTGCCGGGAAGCAATAGGAATAGCCACGCCTGCAATGTCTGCATTTGTAGTTTTAGTGACTTGAATAAGGCAGGCAGGAGAGCACTATGGTTAATGTTGCTGAATCGCGCCAATTCGTAGGCTTTATGGGAGCAGGCGTAAACGGCTTAGAATTCCCCTTCCACTACCTTCTCCTCTCCTCCTACACCACCTTCTCCCCTCCTCTACCTCTCCTCCCCTGTCTCCTCACACCACCTTCTCCCCTCCTCCCGCTTCTACCTACTCATCTTCCCTCCTCCTCTTTTCCCCTCTTCTCCTCCTCCTTCTCCACCCTCTCTCCCCTCCTCTACCTCTCCCTCCTCTACCTCCTTCTTCGCTCCTCCCCTCTCCACTACCATCTTTCCTCCTCCTGACCCCTCTCTCCTTTCTCCACCACCTTCTCGCCTCGCCGCTCCTATCCTCATTCTTTCTCTACCACCTCCGCCTCCTCGCTACTATCCACTGTCCCCTCCTCTCTTCCTCCTCCTTCTCTCACCACACCTTCCTCCCCTCTTTCTACCTCCTTCCTCCATCGAACTCCTCCCGTGCGGCTATCCGAGGATTCTCAACCTCCCTCGCACTCTCTGCGTTTTGCCTTGCTCTACCTCCTCCATACACACTCCCCTTCAACGCACCTTCTCCCTGCCTCCTCCTACACCACCTTCTGCCCTCCCTCTACGTCCTCCACCCTCCTCCACACACTTTGCTCCTCCTCCTCCTCCTCCTCTTTACCGCTCAACCTTCTCACTCTTCTCACCTCCTCCTTCCCTCTACCTCCTTCGCGCTCTCCCCCTCCACTGACCATCTTCCTCGCTCTACGCCTCCTCCTTCTTACCGGACCATTTCCCCCGCCTCCTACCTCCTCTCCACCACCTCCCTCCGCCTAACTATCCCTCCTCTCGCCCCTCCTCTACTTCCTCCCGCCACCCCTCATCGATCCTCATACATCCTATAGCTCCCGCCTCCTTCTTCGCCTCCTCCTCTACATCCCTTACGCTGAGCAACAACGTATATCGCGAAGATCCGATTGCATTGTGTGACTTCGCAAATAGGAAAACGGATCCGAAACCCTATTTCTCATTTCCCGATTTTCAGCCTTAAAAATAGGAAACGGGATCAGAAACCCATTTCCTATTTTCTATTTTTATTTTAAAATAGGACAACGGATCAGAAACGGCCATTTCTATTTTTATTTATTTTAAAAAATAGGATATGGTCAGACAACACAGCTTCTAAGCCGCCATTATTTGCAACGTCAAATGGGAAAACAAACTAACAGTATGTACCGTGATTGGGTGCGGATGTTTGGTAAAATGTCGATGTCAGCATGCTCCAGACACTCAGACAAGTTTGGTGAGGGTGAAAACTGGATTGCCTCCCTGCCTCTCCAGTAGCGTTGCCACTCCTTCACCTCGGATCGCAGTGAGGAAACATTTGGCATATCCTCCTCCCAGTACATTAAACCTTCCACGATTTTCTTACTTTTGTGTGTTCATAAATTGTCGGATGGATTTTTTTATGGAGACAATATAAGAGAAGTGTGTGTGTGTGTGTGTGTATGTTTTTCCCCCTTTTTTGTGGTAAAAAGGGGGGGTCCGGACCCCCTCGACCCCCCCCCTGGATCCGCCCCTGAATAACTGCCGCAATGTATCAAAATGTGTAAAAAATATTATACTAAACAGCGAAATGTGCTACTAAACAGCGAAATGTGCTACTAAACAGCTTGAATGTGCGCGAATAGGTAAGAATGTGGCGCAATGTGCAATCAATAACTGCCGCAATGTATGCAAAATGTGTAAAAAATATTATACTAAAATAGGCGAATGTGCTACTAACAGCGAAATGTGCTACTAAACAGGCGGAATGTGCTCGGAATGGGTAAGAATGTGGGCGCAATGTGCATCAAATAACTGCCGCAATGTATCAAATGCTGTAAAAAATATTATACTAAACAGCGAATGTCACTAAGAACAGCGAGAATGTGCTACTAAAACAGCGGAATGTGCGCGGAAATGGGTAAAGAATGTGGCGCAAATGTGGCATCAATAACTGCCGCAAATGTAATCAAAATGTGTAAATAATATTATACTAAACAGGCGACATGTGCTAACTAAACAGCGAAATGTGCTACTAAACAGCGGAATGTCCCGGAATGGGTAAGAATGTGGCGCAAGTGTGCATCAATGAACTGCTGCAATATTATCAAATGTGTGAAAAATGTATA